TTCCAGTCCCTAACAGGCTGTGATTCTGTGAACCCAGAGCTTGCCTCACCTTCCTCATCCCCATGTCCAGAGTTATGCTGGGGCTCCGAGTCCTGAGGGTGAAGGGTCTTGTCTGGCTCCGGCAGATGAGAAATCCCATCGATGAGGTCCTCGACTCCATCCAGGATATCATTAGCGCACAGCTGGAAAGAACACACACACCCACGTGCTGCACAACAGAATCCGAGCTGTGGGAAGAGCCACCACTAAACAACTCCTTTCTCCAGGGAGTTGGATTTGCAAGGTAGGTCTGTCCGCAACAGTCATGACCAAGACCTTGGCACCGTTTCTGTGACAAAAACAGGTGATCTCTCACTTTGCAGCATCCTCAGCTCTGCCTCCTCAGACAGTCTGGCCAAATCTCACTTACAAAGCCACTTTTAATTGACAGGGCCGGTCTAAGTAGCAGAGGTTTTGGTTTAATCAAAACTAATGCTGATACGACTTTCATGGCTTGAAACAATTTGTCAAAACCAGTTTGATTTTTTTAGATGACATATAATGGTAGCACACTTTCTGCTTTTGATATTTACACTTCAGTAGGATATAGAGGCCCAGGTATTCTAGGGGCCCTGGTGTTCTAGCTCCTGTATCAAAAAGAGACCATGAAAACTTGCATTTTAAGTTCAGGACAAGAAAACAGGGAAGATGAAGAGAAGAAACACAGGAAGGAGAAAGGATAAGGGTGCAATGTAGCAAATTACAGCACTGGTCATCAGCAACATGCCATTACGCGTGTAGTTTGATCCAGACAAAGACAAAGGACAAAAGAGTGGGAGCCAGCAGAGGAAGAAGAGTAAAGGCTCTGACATGGATGAACAATTGATTTGAAGACAGGAAAGGAATCAAATATTCACAAATATATCAGGGAGGAGTAAAGGGTCATTTTTCACAGAGAAAGTTTGTTACAGACCTGCAGGACTCCTGCAGGATCTGTGCTGGGACACATGCTTCTCAACATATTCATTAAAAACCTGGAATAGGAGGTGAATAGCGACATGACCAGGTTTGCTGATGCCACCGAGTTTTTCAGGGTAGTAAACAAGAGTGGCTGACTGCAAACAATCACAGGAGGACCTTACAGGAGCAACTGTATTAAAATGAAAGCTGAACTTCAGTTCAGATAAATACAAAGCAATGCACATGGGGGAAAAAAATTGCAAGCTGACTGAGGGAACAAGGCGTAGAGGCCAGGCTAAGCTGATGTTTTCATGGAATTACACCCAACAACTAAAAAAATACAAAGAGTCCCTAGAATTCTTTGGAAAGAACAAAAGTTCAGACCTCCATCTCCAAAAGCATACAGTGGAACGGAAAAAGGGTCACGAAAGGCAAAAGGACAATCAAAGTTCTCATACAAAGGAAAAAGGGAGTCGAGACCTTTTGACCTGAAAAAGGAGGCATATGATGGAGGGCTACAGAATCACCAGTAGCACAGAGAAGATGACTGCTCATTTCACCTTCAGCACAACAGAACCAGCAGGCTGTGAAACAAACCAAAGGAAGGAGTTGGTTTTCCACACAACCCACAGAAAAGCCACGGAAACTCCTCGTCCATAGGATGTTCGAGATGAAAAAAGTTTACACGGGCCCAAGAAAAGATAGAACAAATCTATGGAAGCGAAACCCATCAAGCTCTCTCAAACACAAAGATGCCAGATTCAAAGAGCCTCCAAGTCGCAAAACTGCACGAGGTCAGCAGGGCATTTGAGAGAAAAGCATCACACTTGCCTCGTTCTTGTCCCCTTACAAGGCATCCACAGCTGAAGATGAGACAGCGCAACATGGGCTTGACTCAGCACAGCTTTTTTAGTAATTTTAACTGCTGCCGGACAGCAGAACGGGGTCCACACTGCCTGCACCAGGCTAAGAATCGGGGAAGCAGAGAGCACAACCCTTACACCTTTGTCTGATACCTGGTATGCCAAAAAGGAGCCATACGGCCTTGCAGCCATGGAGGTGGCATCTTCAGAGACAATGCAAGTGGTAAATGGTCACCACCCTCCCTAAATGACCTCTCTGCTTACTGCTACACAACAAAGCACTGCACTCCCACCACAGAAGGTATTGAGGCACAGAGAGGTCTCATCACGGGTCTCCTCGGGGATGTCTCTGGGCTGGAGCTGAAGAGGAAAGCGAAGCAGCAGGTGGCTGCTGTGTCTGCAGCTCTAGGATATCAGAGGAGCGATGGAGAGCGCAAGGAAAGGGAGGTGAATCCAGCCTGGAAGGAAACTGTCTACAGTTCAAGAGCAAAAGCGCTGACGTACCCTCTGCAGCTGCGAGTCGATCCGCCACATCCGCAGAGTCTGATCACGGGACCACGTAACCAGCTGGTAGTCTTTAGAACCTGAAAAGGACAGAAAGCTTAAGAGGCCCCACTGAAAACGGAGACTGTCTCAGCCCTGTATTTAGTGTACATAGATTCAAGCAAGCCTCCAGGGAGATCCAATGGGTAAGGCACCAAACGGAAAGGCAGAGCGAATCTTTTTCTGCTTTGAACTGACGTATGCGCACCAGCCTTTATGTCTCCCTGCAGCACGGTTACCACTCCTCCAAGTGGGCTATAATTTACAGGCACCAAGCACAAAATATAAAGAATGTGACAAAATATAAAGAATGTGACAAAATATAAAGAATGTGACAAAATATAAAAAATGTGACAAAATATAAAGAATGTGACATGAGTTTCCCAGCTAGGAATGAACAAGATCCACTACGATACTTATTTAAATGGAAGAAATAATACAGTTGACAAACAGATTTAGTTTTACAGTAACTGTAAAGCCAAAATATCTTTCAGCTCATCGTATCTGTTTCAAGATACAGAAGTTTTAAAATATTTCTGAGCTAAGAGAGGTTGGTTCTGCCCTCCTCCTTTTTCCTTGTTAAAGACTTGGATGATGCCAAGACAAATTCAGGCTGTAAGGAAATACCTCTAGCCACATACTAGCCATCAGAGAGAAGTACACAGACTTATTTATGCCCATGTTTAGGCCTTGTGGTTGAGTTTAAGCTTCCCTTTGTCAAACAGCTGCTACACTTAAGAATTTGCTGCTGCACAGCTGCTTCCTACACCCCTCTGCTTAGGCACAGGGGCTGTCTAAATACAGCACAGCAGACTCTGCAAGAGATTTGCACTACCCTGGTTGTCTCCGCACTGAAGAGGACTTGGAATGCCTGCGTGACTGATATACATTGCCTGAGACAAGCATGACTTCCAGCCTCGGATATATATTAGTTCAGCTAACACAACACAACTGTGGCTCGAGCCTTTTTGCATCTTCACTCACAAAGTGGTTTAGGCTGTGCCTCCAGGTCTTAAAGTGGTTCTGTATCGCTCTCCTCTTTTTTGAGAGAGGAAAAGCAGAGAGAAGAAGGTGACTTAACCGAATTACCCCAGCAGCTGGTGGCAGAAGGTCGAACCAGAATTTTTACACGGTGCTGCAAAGCCTTAGCAAAGCCAGACATGCTTGGTCTGTCGATGGCAGCTGAGGTGCTGGAAACAAAGCTGTGCTCTGTGTGGTTATCCAACCTCTAACATGGGTTCTCCTATATTTAGCCACCTATGCTGGAAAAATTAGTCAGGACTGAACTCTTAACAGCAGCCTCTCTGTCCCATGCTCTCCCTGCCTTGCTTTTGCCAGCACTCAGATAAGGTGGGCTCACTGAGTCTGTGGTCTGGGATACGCTGGAGGCTGCTGACGCAGGCAGCGACGCGAAGGGTTAACTGGTTAGCCTGCAGCTCTGAGCAGCGGGAGGGTGCCTGCACCCATTTAATAGTTTGTACAATTTATTCTGAAAGATCCATTTAAAAACAGACTCGCAAGAGAGCGGAAGCAATTAGAGTCACTGCTGACCCACTCAGCATTCAGTAGATTTGCCTTGTTAGCATGCAAACAACAGGGCAACGCTTCTGTGGGCAGTGCCGTATAAAACAGTTATATCTTGAGGGGGGGCAGGAAAACAAGTAGGAGCTACTCCAAAGAAAGGCAAGAGTCAAATGGCAAGAGCATAAAAGCACTGCAGCCGGGAGCCAGGCCTGCACAGCCCTGGTCAGCCGACGGCACAGCACAGGGCAGAGAGCGCATCCAGCCCCAAACTCACCTTCTTTCTGTTTCCTCCACTGAAATTCCAGCACCACGTCATCATGTCCCACAAAAGTGTGCACAGGCGTGTTCAAGTCAAAGACATTCCAGAGAAGGAGACTGTTCTCCCGGCGGAGTTGGGGGACCATCACTGTCACCAGCCCATTGCTGAAAGGCTTGGGAGAACAACACCTTTCCGGTTAGCCTCGAGGAGTTACACTCCTATGTTGCTGTTATCACACTCAACTTTTTTCTTTTTCCTACCAAAACCACCCGGGTTTTAAAGGAACTCATCACAAAACAGTCCTAAAACTGGGGAACCAAGGCAATTGCTGTGCAAAATCGTGTCTTATAAGGGAAAGGACAAAGCCCATTTCAAGACATTCACTGCAGCTCACTTAAAATTAACTATTTCTTTCTGCTGCTTCCTCACTTTTCAGCTGTAAGGCTGGAGAGATTCCACCCTTGACTTTTTCCATGGAATCTTTACCTCAGTTTGCCTAGAGCTGCAAGAACTGCTACCTGAGCCAGAGCCCCAGCATCTGCTCAGGGTCGCGCCGCTTCAGGGGAACAACAGAACCCAGTCCTATACCCGCCCCTTTCCCACCCTACTACGCGGACAGGGAAAGGAGATCAAAGATTCACTGGCTTCAGGCCCCATTTGGATGTCTGGGGAACGCAGAACAGTTACAACTGATGCTAAGGGCCTTTGCTTCACACAGCTGGGTGCTGGCTCTAGGAAAGGCAATAGTTCTTGGATTTGAATTGTTCTAAGAGCCCACAGTGGCACATTTGGAAACCTTGAGGGTAAAAGGGGGCACTCAGAGATGGAAGACCACCACTGCACTGCGGAACAGGTACCAATACTGGAGCTGAGAGGAAAAACAGGACAGCGATACTTTCTGAGCCTCTCGCTCCCACAGCCAACCATCCACACTCGGGTTTTCAACCATCATGAGGATGATGCCCAAGACCGGGATCTCACACTGCTAGTTACTCCTGAGGGCCCCCCCATTGCAGGTGTTGCTTTTTTAGGCCTTGTAAGCACCAAGATGGATTTTTAAAATCAACTTAATAGCATCCAGCAGTGGAAATGGCAAGAAGACCTTCAGAAGTTGTTCTTTATTTAATGTCCTTCTGTGCATTTGCTCTCACAGCACAAGAGGGGCTGGGGGGAGTTTCTTACCGTGTATCTTGCCTTCCAGACGGGAACCTGGCAGGGAAGGATATTGAGGTATTTCCGAGGCTGACGGTAATCCCAGAACTAAAAAAAAAAACCACACCACCAGAAGGAAAAGCAAAGGCAGGAGTCAGCTGGCTATAATTTCAGGCTGCAGTTTTCCATGTGGCTTGCAGATATAAGAGAGAAGAAAAACATGCCAGGGTGCCCAGAGCATCATTAGTAATCCCATTCATTAATGGCAGAGAAGGCCTCAAAGGACAAATATCAAGCTATCAGCATCTGGCAGCATCCCTTAGACGACGAGTGACTTGGGGTCATATTCACAGCGGTCATAGCTTGAGTAATTAGAGCAGGGAGACAGGCAGCCTGCTCGGGTTTTCAGAGCGACAAGACGCCCTGCAGGCTCCCAGCCAACGTGCCAGTCCAGGCTGGAGGCAGGCCCACCCTGCTGTTACTGCTGATTTTGTAATGAAGAATCTAACCTTTTGCTTTGCTAGAACACACATCAATTGCATTTGCCTTGGAGCCGAGCTAAATGTGAATGAACTCCATTTGGCTGACATACCAAGCGCAGCATTTCCCCCCAATCAAAAAGCCCTGCACAGCAACACCTGCAGGCAGCCTCCTATCGACAACCCAACTTGACATGAGTTTGGGAACCCGAGAGGGCAGAGTATGCCTCCCCTAAAGTCAGTGTAATCAGCCCGAGACTGACAACACTGCTCTTCTGATATGTGTAGCCAGCTTCCTTCTGGCAAGCGACAGGCAGAGGCGATTGTTTTCAGCTTTGGCACCACCCAAACCACCACAGATACATGGCCAACATATGCACATCCATCCTGCAACAGCTTCTCTGCCAGTTCTCTGAGCACACCCCTGGCTCAACTAACACAGGCTTGCCAGAACCCAAAAATTAAGGCTCCAGATCTTGTCAATGACAAGCACTCCCCATGACTTCAGCAGTAGCAGAAGGGGATCTGACCATCCTGACCTCTCCTGAGCACAACTCTCAGACGCAACGCTTACCCTGACAGAGTTGTCCTGGCTGGAAGTGGCCAGCGTATACTCGTTGTCAGGATGCCAATCCAGACCATGGATTTTAGAGAGATGAGCCGCCAAGTACTCGACTGCAGTGCTGGGTTTCTGCAAGGAGAGACATTTTCCTACTCAGCACAGGGGTCCTGAAATTCAGTTTAGTTCTTTAGCATAAAGTGAGATGCTTAAACAAGGGCAAGAGAGGTAGAACACTCTCCTGCTAGGCAAAGGCAAATAGCTCAGCAGAAGTAGTTGAAGAAAAGGTCCTGTGAAGGTGTGGCAAATTCCAGCCACTAAGTGCAGCCCTGAACTATCCTTTACACTCAGTAAAACAGTTAAGTACTAGGGGATTGAAAGCAAAATGTTACGGGGCAGTTTCTGGGGAAGGAGGCTATCTACATGCTCTCTTCAGGCTCGTGGGCTCTCAATTCTCTCTACTTTAAACTGATCCACCAGAGAGATTTGAGATCATGTAGTATGTTTTCCTCAGTATTTATCTGTGACCAGAGGGATGCCTCTATCAGGCAAAGTGGGAATAAGCACAGGCTGCTCAGGAGACCTTCAACTCACCCGTTTGTCCCAGATGCGGACATCCCCGTCGTGGCTTGTTGCTAAACAGTTGACATTTTTCTTGTTCCATTTGACCTGGGAAGCTCCAGCTGTAGCACAGAGAGAGCAGGTCAAACAAGCAACTGAAAAGTAAGTAGCACAGCAGACCCTTGATCTGGGCTGAGAGTTGCTCTTCTTAGTACAAAGGACAGTATGAAAATTAACTCCTGATCCCTCAGTGCAGCGTTCATGTTCCGAAGGCCTCAAAGCAAGAGTGTTCCAGTTGCATGCTTAGAGATCTTCATCACGATTTCTAGCCAAGGGTTGCACCTGATTAAAATATGTCCCATCAGCTCAGATGGAGCAACTTGCTCCAGACAAGAGCTGCAGCTTCACCACTCCCTCCCAAATCCCTTCTGTTCTCATCCAAGCTACTTCCAGGTGCTCAAGGATTGATTTGTTTGTCTCCCCAACACCTTCTGTCCTATCTGATGCTATAAAGGGAACCAGTTATTGATTGATTATTAAAATACAGGTGTAGGAGAAGGCTGCAGTGCAGGTGAGCCTTGTGTCTGGCCAGCTGGAGGTAGGCTCACTGGGTGGACCAGAAGGCTCAACTATCAAAATACAACACCAAAGTTAAAGGCATTTTGAAGGAACCAGATGATGGTACAGATAGGATTATACGGTATCGTAGGGGACTCAAGTGCCTAAAATCAGAAGTTGATTGATTATTTCTAACAGGCAGCAAAATGCAGCTTCAGTCGATGTGGACTGTTCAGATACTCTAAGAGAAACACATGCCCTGTTCATCCTTATTCTGCCAGTATTTTCAAATCATTTTAAGCTTGTCAGAAAGGTGAAGCCAGCTCCAGAAAGCTCAGAACCTCAGCCTGCTGCTATTTCCCACCGTCATGACCCACCTCCCTGCTGCACAATGGGCAGATTCATCCTGACAATCTGGCAAAAAACTAGTCTAGGGGAAAAAAATAAATAAATAAATAAAAAGAGCTTCAGATAGACTGTCAGTTAATTGAATTGATTCACTCACTGCAAGGTACACGAACGCCTGGCCCATCACTAAATACAGTTGGGCACAGGAGAGGGAAGCTTTCTGGGGAGCCAGCTGCTAGGCTGGCCCAGTCGACCTGTGAAACTTCATCCCAGAATGAAATGCTGCTTCTCTCTCCCTCGGTCAGGTTTTTGCACCACTGTGACAGAGAGGTTCGCTGGCTGGGAGGGAGCATGTGCAGCCTAATAGAGTATAAAAGAACCGTGCTGTGAGGATTGCTGCGATACCAAGAACAGTAATTCAGGAAAAGGACGTTTTGCTTGTTGTCACCTGTACTTTGCCCGGTTCCAAGAGGCAGCCGGCGAGGACCGACACGCAGCACCCGCCAGGAGGCGGGATTATGGACAGCCGAGCTGCCAACAGCCATTACAAGACGCTGCCACCAGCCATTACAAGAGGCTCTGAAGAGCAAAGTCAGCCCAAAGAGAGAACCTTCATGTCACCGCTGCAGCTGCTCACTCACTGACCTGCCCCAAGGAAGCAGCTACAGCCAGTGAACACACCCAGCCCCTCGGTAAAAAACAAGTTACGTCTAGAAGGCACGGACACATCGTGACCGTCCACCAAGCTGAGGACAGGCAGTCCAAGCACCGTCACCACCCTCCAGGTCCAGCAACCTTCAAAGCTGCCCCATCCCCTCTGAATTCTGCTCCTCTAAAAGGAGCTGTGAACTGGAGCCCCTTGGGCTGCTGCTACACAGGACAATCACATGTGGCGGCACTTCTGCATGCTGCCATGCTCAGCCTCGGAGAGCGAAGGGAGGGAGCAATAACAGCAGGGACGCACAACACCAAACACAGGTATTAAGCCTGCACCACACGCGTCGTACTTACCGACTGCAGAGAGGGAGACCGTGGGCTTCCTCGTGTCTCTGCAACACAACATGGCTAGTATGAGCACCCATGACATAGCCCAGCAGATCCAACCTCCCCAGTGAGCTCCCCGCTATTCCAGGACTAATTTTATCGCTGCCTCTTGGGAGTCAACACGCCTTCTGCTTACTGAAATACACCACGTTGAATGGAATGAAGAAAAGAGGTGACCAGGTGGAGGACAACAGCCATCCTGTCTTGCTACCACATAAAGCAGCAAGTTGAGGACACAGGATGGAGTTGGGAGGGGACTAGAGGGAGGAGAAATGCACGCAAAGTGTGGCACATTGCAACTGTGCACCTTTCACGAGGAAACTGGGCTCACAGTGTTGCGCGGGAAGCAACAAAAGGATTAAAAGGAGCAGAGCCCGTGGTAAAACACAGCAAAAGCCACTGATGTGTTTGTCAAGCCTTTGCAGATCCTGGTTCAAGGCAGACAGAGCAGCAACTTCAGAGCAAAGACTTCATGTCTAGCAGACAACCAAATCAGTGGGATATAAGCCCAGCTGCGTGCAGACTCTACAGCCCAAACTCTGCGGTGGTAGGAGCCAGCGCGGCAGCAGGACAACACCCAGCAGCCAGGACAGGGATCAAGGCAATCATTTGCTCCTCAACCTCGCTCCTCAGGAATTCTCCTGCTGTCTCATGAAAAACGCCAGTGAAAATAAGGGACGCTGTCTGCAGCTTTTTGTGTTTGCTTAAAAAGCAGAACATTTTCTGGAATGGGCTGCACCTCTCCCTCTAAAAATTCCTGCTTAATCAAGAAGTTATTTGGTACAGAAAATTAAGTGGGGCATTTCCAGCTGCCCCTACTGCAGGGCTACTTCCCGAGGGTGTCGGAGACAGCTGCTTCAGCAGGGCGTTCAGTTGCTGGAGGGCAGCAGCCCCAGGACCGTGCTGCCCCAGTAAGCTCAGAGACCTCACCAGCACAAGTGGGATGTGGACGCTATTCAGAGACTGCCTAAGCAAGCATTTTGGGACAAGTGATGCAAAATGACGGAAGGGCATCACAGAGTTAAGCAGGGCTTCCGATAACAACCTCCAGAGAACTCTGTTTTTCACTCGACACTAAGATAGTACCGCAGGAAAACACAACCAGAATTTATTGTCTATGTCTTTTAATTATGCATTAATAATATATTGCCATTCTCAAGCACCATTTAACCAAGTATGTGAGCGCTTCACAGGAGCTAAACAAGCCTCAGGGTGGCCTGGTGCAGCAGGGTTACATAATTATGCTCTTACTGTAACTGAGCAAGGGAGGCCGAGAGGAACAAAGTAACTTGCTGAGGGTCATAA